TATTTTGTCTCCATGGGAATGCGACCACCGCGGCCGGGAGTGAACGTGCGACCTGTGGGTCGGCAGCCCAGCACCCTAGCCACTGACCCACCGACGTGGACTCACGGCCATTATCTCGGCAACCTTCAGTTTGCCGATGACATTTTGTTGTTTGGGAGTCCTGGTGAATAACAGCAGCGAATGTTCCATATCTTATCAGGTTAGTGTTAAATCATGGCTTAAGACTAATGTGTAGAACTGTATGACAACATTTGTTTTTTGACGAGAAAACATGAAGTCTGAATGCCTAAAAAATCTGTGCAGCAGTGCGCAGCGAGGTCAACATGTAGCAGGAGATTCTATCAAGAGAGAAGCTTACGAAACTACGAACGGCCGCTCACCACTACTGTTGAAAATAAGTGTGTGCCGTCATTGTATTTACCCGGTTCGGAGATATAGGGGAAAAACACTAGAAAATTAGCGAAATGCGAGAAGTAGATAAGAACAGCGCGGCGCATGACCGAGTGAAAAATATGTTAGGAAGAAACCGGGACTCTGAAGTGCTGACTAGAGAGCAAACAGATGTTGCCGATATAATAGTTTGACTACACAAAAAAGAATTGAGCTCGGCGGGCCATTTAATAGGTATAGGGCAAATAGCCGGCTGCCCATAAAATGGACATAGTGCACGTGCCTTGGTATAAGAACAGCAGTCGAGGGTGGCAAACACACAGGCGGAGTGACGACATGAGAAAGTTTGCTGGTTTGAAATGGAATAGGTTCACGCAATACAGGTTGAGTGGCGGTCTTTAGGGGAGGAGTTGGTCCGGAAGTGAACATAAAATGAGCTGATAATGGCGTGTATGTTTTAGTAGGTTTGCTGGAAACAGTACATTGCATTAAAAGTAATATCGTCAGACCTTTCTCATCATTTGTGCATCTAATTAGTCAGTGGATGACCACTTTTACCTTCCGGTTTGCTGCTTTTTTCTTGTACCATCGCACGCTGCATGGCCCTTATTGGCTTCCTTGGTGAAGTCAACTTCGAAGTTTTCGTCGATATGTTTTAACCAGTAAAATGTTATGATGATATCCGCTCATTTTTGAACACATCGAATGAAGAGCTGAAGGTTGAGCCATATTGAGGCCTCTTTCTAGGATACACAAAGGTGCATTTTTTGACCCCCTGAGTTTTGACGGAACATCCACGCTCATGTAGCGCTTAATATAAAACACCGTCGAGTTGTGCAAGGCGGCAGCTTTTAATGCGCCGAGTGTGACAAAGCGCATCCTCTTTTAGTTATTACGTGCGGGTTGTCAGCTGTGTCCAGACGTGCTGAGTTCATTCGAGGTGATGAATTCTTTTAATTGTCTCTGCAAAGCTTTCCAAAATTGTCCGAAATGGGAGAAGATAAAAAGTCGAAATAACTGAGGAAGGAGCGTACCGATGCGGCTATGAAGATTGGGTCATTCGCGGCATCTTTAGTTTGGCCTCTGTTACAGTTCGCGGAAAACAGTCTGCGGGTTACAGAGCCCCGAGGTTATCCACTCTCTTTGCGTCCAAAGGTGCGCCAGAATTATTTACATATTTTACACCCTGTCCTTTTTTCTATTAATTTTTCTTTGCCTATGTTTTGTCAAGGCAGTTCACAGATTTACGACCACGGTAAATATAATTGCGCATGCGAAGCGGATGCAGCAGTTTCGGGACGGTTCTGCTGTGTTTCAATCTAAGTGCTTCTCAGGAGTATTTCATGTTTCTTCTCATGAGTGTGGTAGGATGACTAAAACAGTAAAAATGAAAACAGTCAAGACACAGAAAAAAATGCGTGATATGTTTTAGGGTGAACTCGCAAAGCTAGCGAGATTTATGTGGGCAAATATGAAAGAGCGAGCAACACTAAAACATTTTATGTAATCATCAGGTAGCAGCACAGAGAGAGAGCCGCAATAAAAAAAATTGGGAAAAGCAGGGAGGTTAACCAGAAATTGAAGCATCCCGTTTGCTACCCTGCACTAAGAAAAAGAGGAAGAAAGATGAGAAAGAAAGCGAAAAGCAAAATAAACGGGCGAAAAAGGAAAAAAAAATGAGCGGGGGGCGATAGCCTATTCAATAGGCCACTACCACGTTAGCGAAGAATAGTAAAGGCAGGGTTCTATTTTGATATGTGCGTGGTTTTGTCAGCTTTTTATTAGGGAGTACAATGGTTCAAGTGGTAATTTCTGCACAATTGTCAATATATTAAAATGCCTTTCACACTATTTATCAGCCGCCCATGAAATACGGTCTTGCACGTAAAATGAAAAATTCGCGAAGTTCAGTTCAGGTTAGTAACAAAATAGTTGCAACACGTAACATTCTGAACTCCTATTTTGGGCCGCGTTGTATAACAAGCGAAGTAACTTTTAAAGCGCATTCACATTATACATCTGTGCAGAGCATTTGCCTCAAAGGCGTTTCAGTGAATAGAACTGCTGCCTTTCGGCACTTTCGTTAGCTGATGGATAACAACGAAGAGGTGCTGAGAGCCACGTGCGACACTTTGTTGTTGTATTACGATAGCGATTGCAAGTTAGTAGACTCGTGTGTTTTATCGTTACAATCATTAATCGCGGGCACAAGGAGCCGACATGGCTAGTGGCATTACGAGTATGGGCGCCCTCATGGAAAGACAAAATCACACTTGTCTATAGAGCGGTGAAGTGCGGGTCTGTGGACGCTGTGTTTGTCTGAAGCTGCTTACTCACGTTAGTTACAAGTTTAATTCAACGCTTGAATTACAGCTGAAGGACCTCAGCATTCAGTAGGGCTATATTATGCATCACTACGGCATTGGTGTACGCGTATTTTGGCATAAAACTGAAGCTGAAAAAGCAAGCTGGGCGCTATATAGACAAGTGTGGTTCCGTCTGTAGCATAGTTTGAAGCCTTCAGGGCATCTTCACATGAGAGACGCGAGAGATATAGGCGTGAAGTTAGATGTCGTCAATGGCCTGCGCTCTTAATTACACCAGTATTTGCCTGACGAATCTCTGGCACAACCCAGCGAAATCTATCCGTAATTGCATGTACACGCATGCTATTAAAGTTTGGAAGTGGATGTTTACTACACTTTACACAGCCTATCCAATCAGTCTTCTTTCACGTAGTTTTCCCCAAGTTAGCCATGGCCTTCTGTGCTAAGTATGCCGGGTGATGCCGGGTGAAAGTAATACTTCTTCAAAGTATAGTATACGAGCGTCATGCACTCGTACAAGAACTGGAAATCTCAAGCCGTGTTAAGCGAGATATTCGGCTCAAAAGTGCAGAATTCAAGAACTGCAGCTCCCCCCATCCTTCCCAGGGGAAATTACTTCTGTTCGCTCTCATCTTCCTTAGATACCAACTCGCTTTGTTTGTTCTTATATACAATCAGACAGCAGAATGAGTAGTCAGTCCCTGGAGTGCATACGAGAAAAATAAAAAGTAGGGAAAGAAGCGGAAGCTGATAAATGATGCCGAATTACATTACGTAAGCCATCGCCCGCCCTTCAAGATACATCTTATAATCATCGCACCAAATAGCCTGATTATAAAGAATGTATAATGGCTTTTGAATTGTAGCATATATCTTTCATGACTGCTGGTGTCAGGTAACTTCGCTCGAGTCAGCCTTTATATTCAGAATATTACGTTTGTTAGGGTACCCGATATAAATAGATCTTTCGCCTTGGTCGCTCCCTTCTCAGAGCTCGAATTTCGCCCGGTGGTTGCAGGTGGCTTCCCTTTGCGTTTGCGTATGGATGCAATACTGTCGCGTCTAATTCCGAACATTTTAGAGAACCTCCCTGCGCTGAGAATCAGAATGTGAACAATCTATCATTACCTAACTAAACCCTAGCAACAATCTAGAAGCAATCTATGAACAGCTCTCATCCTCCAGATAAGGCTTAGAAAGAACATAAAAACAACCTCACTACTTTTTAGAATCGTCCTATAGCTGTTTTACTGTTTCAAGGCTTGCGCGACCTAGTGCAAGCGTCACCATTTTTTTGCGTGTTTATATGTAGCTGTCATGATTTATTCTGTGCCATAAAAAGTTGGAGCTCGTATTGCACTGAATTATAGCATTCAACCAATTGGAACCTGTAATTTAAGAATCCTAGCCAAGAGTTTGATGGAAAACCATATGACCTTTTATAGCCGTTCCATAAAGTTATGAATCTTGTTACTGGTTAACAAATGAAGAAATTTAGTCGTTCATTGTTCAGTGACAAGCTTGACTGTTACTGTGCGAGAACTTACACCATCGCGCGAAGTTCGGCATGACTGAAGGAGCTTTTTACACACACCAATGGTCTGCTCTGTTTCCAATTCGGCACGTTATTCTCGCTCGGACAAACTCACGCTGCAGCTGCATACACGCTAATTATAGTTCTAGTTTTCTTTTGATAAACTTTCTTAGTTAATTGCTGCCAGGAACCCTTGTTCACTGCTAACCTAGCCCAGACGCTCTCTGCGCAAAGTTGTCAGCTTGTTTTTCCAAACATTTTCCGCTGAGCGTTCTATGACATTTAGGGAACCCCAGGCGGCCCCGGTAGTTTTCACTACAGTACCCGGTGATCTCTACTACGGTGTCTGTGAGAGCGCACTTGCTTACTATAAAAGCTCGAAGCCTCATTTATCACAGTCCCTGTCTTGAACTACGCTGTGCTTACATTGTAGACATTTATGGGTCTTATCCCCTCTGGGTGAGCTCACGAGAGGACGTATAGAGAACTGCTCGGCCGCCAGCGCCTGTCTATCCCGTCTATTAAGCTGTCATAACTCCCACCGACAGCCGTAGACAAGCGCCACCATGGTTGCGCTGGCAAGATCACGGAACTTTTTTTTCTTTTCTTGAGCGCTTACGGGAAGAATTTTGTTTTATCGTCTCTTGAGTGAACTAGCACCGCAGTGAACTTTTGTGAGCCCTTCAAATGTATATCTATAGCGCTGTGGGAAGACCAGGACTGAAAGATAAAACAAAGAAATAACTCACAAAACTTGGCCACCCTGCTCCAAGTGTTTGATCTGAAAGACACAAAAAAAAAAACAGATAAACGAAAGTACAACGCGACCATACGCGAATACCAATCAGTTTATTCTGACTGGTGCGCATGCGCAAGAACAGTACTCAAGATAGCTTTCGCCCTTCGAAATATATCGCTTTTTCAAAACTTTAGCATAATCGCGTGCATAGAAAGAAACACATGTGGATAAAAAAAGAATTAGAATAAAATATTTACCCTTGTGCGAATCAGATATGTAATAATTATTATTGTGTTTAGCATCATACAGACATATTTTGGCACGCCTGACACTCAATGAGAGTCGGTAAAGAGTCAGTGCAAATAGTTAAGGACATAGCATACTTCAACAGACCTGCTAAATGGACAGTGTCGCATGGTGCGCACCAAAATATGAATGACTTATAATCAGGGAGCTGAGCCAGCTGGTACGTTTTTATTCTAAAAGAGACAGGTCTTTGTTTTCGGTGTCCTGGCTTTCTTGTTGTGTCCGTGCTTGCACGCCCTGTCTATTTTAGTATACGTGTATCCCATGATGATGACGAATCAAACTTATCTCAAAGTGATTACAACTTTAGAAGAAAAAAGATCCACCCACAGTCATCGCTGTCTCACCCAGAAATAATTTGCATTCGTGTTCTATCCAATTACGTCCGTTGAATTTCGCGACGTCTTCTAATTTTGGGTAGTTAATATAGTTATTTTGTTGTACAGATATGCGTTTCTTTCACTGGTTTTACGTATCGAACTTGAATTTCTGGGAAAATCTTACAAAAGTTTCGGACCTCCACAATACTAAAACTACTACTACTTACTACTAATGCTGCTACTACTACTACTACTACTACTACTACTACTACTACTACTACTACTACTACTACTACTAATAATAATAATAATAATAATAATAATAATATGCACAATAAAAGAAGGCAAGGTAGACACGGACAAGAAGCGCACGGCTCGTTCAGGCTGGTACATGGTAAAGCAGCTTAGGAACCTCTCTAAGCTTTTATATTATTCTGGCCTCAGAGGTGAGAAGCAAATAGATATTTTAATCAGAAAAGACATTTTTATTACATTGATTTTCTTGAGCGTCTTCAGGATCCGCTCTGATCTACTCCGAATTGCCGCACTTAGCCACAACGGCCATTTTTATGTCATGTGTTTTGCGCAGTGCAGCTTGGTACAGGGGACCTTTCTCAACCTTTCGCAACTGCTAACGCTCTCTGACCATATTCACTGTAGTGAAACAAAGCATTAAATAAAAAGCAGACCATGTCAGTTTTATATTGCAAAACATATACGTATACCTTATTTTTTTAAAAAAGCCGGTAGACGTGCAGTTGCAAGTAATACGCTACTGGTTTCCTTATCAAATGAAAAGTAAAGCGTCATACTTGGTTGGGACGCCACATTCCAGATGAACTGTAAACAATTTTAATGCGAACACACTTACGACGTCTTTGTGAGTTGGGTTGTGTTGCTCCTGTCACTGCGTTTCCTCAAATATTCGTTAGCGCACAAGCGATCCGTGTCTGCTTTCGTGGGTTTGCGGCGCAGACGTACGCAAAGCTGTTGAAAAGCGTGAAGTCTCTGGAGGCCTTAGAGTAATCCAAGCCGGTGCGCCCACGAATGTCGCTCGCTGACGACGCTCAGGAACTTGCATAGAGACTTTCCCCCGTATTCTAGAACGTCCCTTCACTCGACGCTTCACCTTTACTTAAGAAAGCCGATGGAAGCACCCTCTCTAGGCAGGGCAAGTCACTGCATATCAACGATGATGTGGTGTGATTCTCGAGCAGCACAGCGTCAATTTCAGCCGAGCAGCGGCGCAGTGCTCAACTCTGTCAAGTGAAGGCTTAAAGTCGAGTCGAGGATCATTTGTGAATACGGGGGTTTGTTTCTCGCTCGGCACAGACCACTTGCGGCCAAGCGACGGCCACGTGCGGCTTCACGCTTCCGCTCTCCTTGGCTGCATACTGGCGCGTAAAATGCTAAACTAAAACGCGCAGGACGTCATTTATCGATAGAGGCATTGCGGTAGTCTAAATTTGTAGGTTTAAGTTTGAAATCGGCCAACTCAGTTCATCACTGTGCAAAATGAGAACCCTACGCGACATTTAGCCCATGTAATGTCGCTGTATCCTCTATTCCGGCACGTGGTGAGGAGTGAAACTTTTTTATAATATTATGTAAATTATGTAGAAAGGAACCAAAATGGGAAAGGTCTAGCTAGCACGTCTTTCTTTTTCTTCGTTGAAGCAGGACGTGCAGCCATCTTGGTGGCCAATCTTTCCTTGTTATCCAGGCAGCTTTCTGGCAACTTTCACCGTGACTTTGACAGTGAGCAGTGCTGACACGCTACAAAACTATAAATAAGTAAAACGTGAATGAAGAACGGGTCACAAAAAGACCCACTCGTGCGTCTTTTTTTGACCCATATAAGATGTCAAAACCCTCGTCCTCTTTGGATGAAAGCATGTACCTCCTGCTAACATTCGAACAACCAAAACAATTTTCAATCACGCACGTCCCCCTTCACTTCGGTCACGTTCTAGCCAACTTCAACAAGCTGGCTGAGGCCTCTTCTACCACTTCTTATTTGACTGCATCGATACACAAGTGCTATCGATTTTAGGACTATTAGGGCAAATGTAAAGACAAAACTGAATTTGCGACATGATGGTCTTGCTGTTACACTTACGTCAGTCAGGTCCCGATACAATTTTCCACTTAGGGACCTCCTATATACTAAACACATGTAACATTCTTCTATTGGTATCAATAAAAATTCTGATTCTGAGGTGCTTTAGACATTTCTTAATCTCTTGCTAGATTTTTTGACGTATTTCTTTATTTGCTTCGTCGTTTTCACTGCTTGTACTCTTTTTTTTTCCTTTCCATATAGCCTCCAACACCTGATCTCATATCGCAGAGCTGACACGGACGATTCAGTTCAACTTATAATATCCCTCTGTTCCTATCACTGAGTTTAGATCTGTTGAACGAGAATAACGAGAGTTGAACGTAAATGTAAGACTTGGGAGAGTCTGCATTTCAACGCCTCTTGTGAGGCTTTAAGGCCGAAGCAGTAACAATCTTGTCATACGTACTATGGCTGCTATGTTTTGGGTTGAAATGCGGTTTTCGAAGAAGTATGGAAGCAGGAACAATATACGGAGGACGTGGGTTCTATGTCTTTATATATTCCTATATGTGTCGGATAGTAAATTCAAGAGTTATACAAGCATAGTGTAGTCAGGGAAATGTATACGTAAATAATGTTTAGGCTTTTAAACGCCAATGATAACACAATGATACATGCTAAACAGTGATGGTGGTGCACTACGTAAAGTGGAACTCCACAATAATTTTAAACACCAGAGTTTTCTTAATATACAACAAAACCTAAATCAGACGAAAATATTCGGGTGTGCTTGGCATTTCAGTCACGTAGAAATATGGAATGTGGGCGGGAGTAGAACACGTGAACAACAGCATAGCAGCGCAACACCTTGGTCGCTATGCTATCATGCCGTGCGGAGTGGCAAATTTTTAAGAAAAAAAACACCAAAGGAAAAATAGAAATGCAACCATAAGTGCCCAATGCTCTTTATGTGCTCAACGAGCTATCCCCAAATCGCTTAATATATTCGCTTTTATTCTTTGCTTACTTCTCTGAATAAAAACAAGTGGGCTGGCAACTCTAGCCGTTGTGAATCGCAGCGCATTCCGTCAAGAAATATACGCATCAGACTGCACCGCCTTTCTTCGAGTCGTCTACAAAGTGCCACTGCTGGCTAAATATTTAACCATCTTTACTTCTAACGTCGCCTCGGGTGTTCACGGGACGCGTCCATGTTGACACATAAACAAGGGCGCCAGCAGCAGGTGGGAAACAGGGACCGAATTGCCTGGGAGGTGAAAGCACTCCAGTTACATGCGTACGCATTTGCATTCGTGGGCACCTTTCGAGCCTAAAGTGGCTCCATTTGCATCTACCTGCGGGCAACAAGCGAGGGACCGAAAATGTATACGACACGTGGACGCTGAAAACGCACAACGGCACAGGAATGCGTGAAGCGTCGGTTTGCCGATGCATGATGCGCAGTTTTTTTTTTCTTTAGCTCGTAGCGGGTGTTTTATCCATGTCGAGGTAACAAGCTTACTGACAAAGACTAGAGCGCACGCCCCGGCATCCATTTGACGGCTCCCTTCAGGGGGAATGTCACTTTTGGCTGGGCTTTTTTCGTCCCTTCGGCTTTTCCACGGCAGGCCTCAGGGGTGTCCCGACATCCTTCAGATAATAGAGCGTGCTCGACGTACAGCGGCCATCGCTGGCTAAACAGCTACCTCTCTTGTCGACTTCAGACGTCATGCGCCAGTCACGCCCATGCTCCCCCTACACCCTGCCGTTCGCTGGTTTCTTTCGCGACACAAAATCGCTGCCATCGCTATGGAGACAAATGACCAAAGGGGGTATCGGACATTTCTCAAGGAGTTAATGGACTGCAGTGGTGTGCCCGATTGTCACCTACCTCGCACCTGCTCCTTCCATTCAATTGCTAAGCAACAGAGACCAGCGTATTAATAATAATCATCATCAGGCTGACTGCGCCTGCTGCATGGCCCCTGTCATGTTCCGCAAATAAACCCGGTCCTGCGCTTGTTGTGGCCACGTTATACCCGTAAACGTCTTAATGTCATCTGCCCAACTAACTTGCTGTCTCCCACTCGCACATTTGCCTTCTCTCTAAATCCCGTCTGTTATTCTCATTAACCAGCACTCATCTCGCCTGCGCACTCTATGCGCTGCGCATGTTTGTTTCTTCTTCCTGATTTCGACTGATGTGTTTAACACCCATACGTTGCTTGACGCAGTCAGCTGTGATCCTGTACAAGTGAAAACAGGGGAGGGGAGATTTCACGTGCAACCTTTAGCGTACAATAAGCACCTGGTTTTTTAATATTAATTTGTTTCTTAATAAGCTTTTAAAAAAA